AACCATCCCGACCACTATCACCGGAGATGAGCAATCAAACTGGACCCTCTGAATTGCTACCACCTGTCACGTCCAGGGTCACACTCGAGGATGTACAGAGCCACACTGGCAATCCTAAGACATTGCCGTCGGAGTGTGCAATTGTGGATAAGGGTGATTCGAATCTCCCCAGCGACGCCCCTCCCAAGCCCTCGTATCGCAGTATATCATTACCTCTTGGTAATTGCATACCCCTAAAGCCTGTCTCGGAGCATGACGAAGGCAAACTGGAGGCAGAGTATGGTCTTCGATGGAGGTAAGACCTGCGTTCGTCCTTGTACATGGCTTACGATGATGTCATTCCAGGATGCTTGAAGAATTGAAGGGTCACAATCATAGGCTCCGTTATAGGTTGCAGAGAGTAGCTGCCGATGTCCGGGAATACGAGATTCAATGCTCAAATGTACTGCCTGCCCTCGGAATTTCGCATCGCAGTCTTCCACCGGAGCTTCTCGATGCCATTGGTCATGATCCTTCCTCGGTGACCGGTGGAACCCGCAAACATCGAGGTTGGCAGGCCGTTGATGATATCCACGACCGTGTCACGCGTCAGCGTGAAATTATCCGGCTGTTCCTGTCTACCGCCGGGGAAGATGCCCTCACTATCCCGGACATCTTGGACGAGCCCATCACGTTATTGATGGATAAGCTTCAGGAAATTCAGCGGGTGCAGCGGCCCTTGAACGAGAAGGCGAGCGATGTCAACAAGACACTGGAGGAGGTCAGATCGATCCATGCGACCGTTAAAAAGGAGTACAATGAGGCTGTTTCGCACACTTCAGTTGTCTATCCAGAGGTTAGTAAATACGTCTCTATGCATTGCGTGCGTGCCCACTAATTTTGCATTCGAGTTGTCCCTTGTTGTCGCTTTGGTGGAGAAATACCAAGATCAGTACCAGCAAATTTGGGAGTTTGGTATGGACGTGTTAACGTTCATCCTCGATACGATTACGCCTTTCTGGAGAAACTATGGAAAGACAATAATGGAAGATATCCAAGATTTTCTTATTATCCCTTGGTACCGAAATGAATTCACCGGAGAGCCCAAGCGCTATCCAGTGCAATCTCTTCCTCGTCGGTCCATATACCACTGGTTCTCTCTGCTGGGGTTATCTACGTTCATGATTCTGATTACCTTCCTCCAAACACGCGCTGCCATCACCTCCATTTGGAATTACAGACTACTCTGGATTGGCAACCATGGGATTCGTTGGACAGTTTTACCACTCTTTTGGATTGCAATTGTTATCCAGCTATTTGCTGTTGTCATCGAGCTTTGCATCCTCTTCTTGCAAGCTGCTGTCGTTTTGTGGTGGCTAGGTTGGCTTGTTGGGCTCTGTACATAGCTTCACCTTGCCTTCCAAATATTCGTCCCAAGCGTCCTCATACTCATTAGTATACCTTCAACTTGCGTCATAGTCGTACAGCATCATACACAATACCACCAGTTCTATTTATGTATTCGGATCATCAATGGAATTTTCATTATTGCCGGCAGGTGGAACCATCGTAGCGGCCGTCGCAGGTTGCGAGGTAGGTTGTAGCAAATGCTGATCCGCCTTTCTTGCGGCCGGAAGGTCACTAGTAATGGCAGGTTCCCCTGGCTTGGAAACTCGGCCATCATTGATGCACGGCCTGCAGTACCCTATAAATTCATTGCGTTCAGAAGAATAGGGACACCAGCTAACCGTACTTACGTCCCCCCTGGATAAGGGGTACCTCGCTCTGACCACACGAGTGGCAGGCAATCCGTGGAGGCTCCATTTGGTTTTTGTTTTGCGTAGGTCGCTTCCGTTTTGCAGTTGGAGAACCTTGGGCGTGACCATCTGCCACACTTCTCCGAACCGTCTTTCTCCTGCTTTTGTTGTTTTCGGTGGCAGGTTTGATGGGTTTCATCGAATACGAAGGTATCGCAGCCTGGCTGGAGGTGAGCGACATGATGCAGTGTCCTGGGTAATGAACCTCACATTTTGGATTTGTGAAAGCTCTGGACCCTCCGGAAGTCTGTGCGCCAGAAATTTCCTCTCTTGTGGTTTCTGCATGCAACACATAGCTAAGAATCATTATAGCGAAGGATGGATACACTACTTACGATGCTACTAAGGATCTTACAGTTTTCTTCTATGTTGGGTCCTACCCAGCGTGAGATGGTGTCCCATACAGCCGAACCGGCAGATTTAAAACGGAAGGCAACGACCTGCTTCGGAATAGTCTGAGTTTCCGAGACACCTTCAACACCCTGAGTAGCATTTAGAGCAGTAAACGGAATAGCAGTGGTGAGGATGATGTCTCCGAAAGCACCCGATATTCCAGGTAAAGTAACAAATTCACATTTTGAAGGTCCCCGAGGAAAGGTCCAACGATCTGCTGGGTTTTCTCGAAACTCTAATACGAGATCGAAATCTCTGGTGGGGGTTTGTAGTTGATATTGTGATGTTGTTGGCAGGGTTGGAGTTCCGGAGTCGGCATGCGCTTTTGACGGAGCAGGATCAGTTGATGGTTGAGTAGAATCGACTGTCGCAGAGGGGGAGCTTGCAAGGGATTGAATCAGTAGGCCCAGTGTCTTGAGCTGATCCGGGGATGCTTTCCCAGCAACAGCCAGTTGGAGGAGGTTTGCAAGGGTCGGGTTAGAGGCGGCTGCCTGATTAACTTGTGAAACAAGGGTTTGCGTGACGTGGAGCGTCGAAGGCAATGACGCCAGCAAGGGAGTAGAGGTAGGCAATGCAGTCGAAGTTGTTTCGTTTGCCTGGCTCGATTGAGGGTTTAATTGCCACGACCCTGACGGCACTGACTGATACACAAAGGTAGTCGGAGGGGTGACAGGTACGGCGACCGGATGGTAGTGAACTTCAAAGACTGTAGTGTCCGTGAATACATGGGGACCAATTTCTAGAGTACATCTTCCACGGTTATACATAGTGTGCGGCGGTGGCACAACATCGGGTTGCTTCCCTCCTCTGGAACGAGTTGAGAACTTCGGAAATGTTGATCGCAGCCATTTTTCTCTGGCTGTAATAGACTAGTGTGAGTATTCCCGACAGATCGATGGACGTTGTGCCCTGACATTGCTTCAAAGACTGTAATATTACAAGGCTGGCTAAACCTGAGATAGACAAGACACGAAGAGCAGCGCTTCACACCTTTCATCGACAGCCTTCAGCTCGGCCCCTGCAAATGCTCTGGTCTCCCAGTCAGGTGCGTCCCCGACGGGCAGCTTCAGGATCTGAGTGGGTCGATTCATGGAGTTTGTGTGGTTCTGTTTGCCAGATTGCCCGAAGATACGACTTTTGATATGATTTTTGTCCCGCGATAAGCTACAGCTTAGCCACCGCGTTCTCCCTTGTGTAGTCGAAAGAATGAGCACCCGCGTTCGTAAGTCAATAATGACGTATGGCTTGTTGGAGTGATCACATCTTCGCTCACAGAAAAGGGCGGTACTGTCTTCCGACCCATTGCAAAGGGCCGAGCCCGCACGGCAGATACGTCCTCGGATAGGCAGGCTTCACTGCCTCAGGATGCTCGCTTGTCACAGACTACTCCATTACCCGACATTCTTGACAGTGCACCCAGACCAACTCCTTCCCCGATGCCGCCCACGGTAGTCCCTGTTAGACTACCATTTACTCCGTCTTTAGATGTATCCCATGTTCAAACTGTTCCGACCGGTACTCCGATCCATGTTGCCCTGTCTAGAGCGCCACCCCGAATACAGCCGACTGAGATGCAACCCCCGCCTGTGCCGGAAAACGATGTAGTGACCAGTTCAGCCGAACACGAGACTTCGACTCAGAAAACCCCGCAGCGACCAAGGTTGAGGTCTGGTTCATCAACTTCTAAAAAACCTCGAAAAGCACGGCCACTCGCGACTCCTACTTTTGGCGCCGAAGCTGATGCCGGAGAAGACCTCGATCCGACCTCAGTCACAATGGCTGCCTTGTGCGAAGACACGGGCCAAGGTCGCGTCAGTAGCAAAGGTGCTCAGATTCTTCAAAATCATCAAGCATGGAAAAGGTCCAATCGCGAGAAAAGGGCGAAAATGCGGGTGATCATGGAAGCCAAGAAATACGGCCGTGGTGAGGAGGCTGACACGACTCAAGCAAATGGAGTCAGGGAGGTTCACTCCGAAGAAGGTTCCACACGAGACACGACCCCGGGACTGCGTACGGAGATTACTCCGGTTTCTGCAACTGAAGACACTTCTGGGAGTGGTTTCGACTATTCACAGAACGTCTCTACAAGCCGGTATAATGTTCAAGTTCGTATTGGGCCTAATGGGGAAACGATCATAGACGAGGAGTCCTTATTCGTTGACCGTAATGCAGAAGAAGAAACAGCAAACTACACCCATGTAGAGGAATCGGACGTTACCAAGTTTGTTAATTCTGGGACCTACGCCAAACGCTTCCGAGGGTCTAGGTGGAGTGCAGAAGAAACGGAGTTATTTTACGATGTAAGACTGACATTCCGTATCGAATTTCTTTTCTCAGAGTACCCCAGGCGTTATCGCAATTCGGGGAGAACTATGAACTTATTTCCTACGTGCTTCCTGGTAGAGATCGTAAGGCATGCAAAAACAAGTTCAAGGCAGAAGACAAGAGGAATCCAAGTAGGATTGACTTTTGCCTCAAAAATCGTCGGCCCTATGGTCTCGTCTCAAATTTTTCACAGAAGTGTTGCTAACACGCTCTTGTAGATATGCAAACACTTTCTCGTATGACGGGAAAAGATTTTGATGGACCCACGCCTGAGATTCGTGCCCCGCCGATGCTGTCGCTAGCAGATCAGGTAAAAGGTGCTGTGCAAGATGAGCGACAAACTGAGGAAAGCATAACCAAGACATTGCCTACTGTCCTGGAAAGTGGTGAAGAGGTCCTTGGAGATGTGTCGACTTTTGAAGCATGAGATCTACAGACGCCATTAATAGTGTTGATGCAATTATAAGAAGGCAAAGATACTGTTGAGCCGGGATAGCTCAGCTGGGAGAGCAACAGACTGAAGTCAAGCCGAATTCTGGAGGTCCCGTGTTCAATCCACGGTCCTGGCACTTTTTTTTGGGCCGCACGGATATATGGCAAAAGAAACTTCCCACCTAATCTTGCCTGCGAACGTTCATCGACACCCACGAACGTGCACGAAGTGCGGTCAGGCTGAGCGGGTCAACCATCTGGCTGTCCTGTGGAAAAATCACTGCGCCCCTTGTATTACATGTCTAGAGTTTGTTACGGGATACCTATAAAAATGCACGTTGAATGTTCTTATAATCGTTGGGAAGTTTCGTTATGGTCTCTTCGCTGCTAGAGATTTCGTCTGTGGTGGCTATTTTGCTCGTTGCCTGGGAGGTTCATGCCACCAACTACCTTCCAACGACATACCCCAACATCGAAGCATGCGTCACACTGCCTTTGCAGTATTCCTGCGAGAATACCACGGCTCTCACAAACTCATGTTGCAATGTTGTGAAGGGCGGTTTGGTGTTGCAAACTCAGTATTGGGACACTTACACAGGGCTAGAAATTTACGGTCAGCTTTTACCAAGCGGTACCTGGACTATCCACGGTCTCTGGTCAGACAATTGCGACGGGTAAGTGAGCCCGTTGCGGATTTTAATTCTTTCCCCCTGATGGCCAGCATTCAGTTCATATGACCAGTATTGTGATTTGACCAGACAATACGACCCTGATCCGTCGCCTTCAGTTCTGCCGGATGGTACTCCAGTCCCGCCGTATACGGGTCCCAGCGTAAAGACATTCATCGAAGATTTTGGTCGCTGGGATCTTCTCAAATATAGTAAGTGAAGGATATCAATGTCAATCGACTCGCGCAAGATGTCCCTTCCCTAGTGGAGACTTTCTGGATCAATCAAGGCACTTCCAACGAAGATTTCTGGGCGCACGAGGTTGGTCGATTACAGGGACTTCAAGACAGGCGTGCTTGATGCACTTGCTTAGTTCTCTAAACATGCAACCTGTACTTCCACGTTCGACGTCGCCTGCTACGAGCCTGACTACAAGGAACACCAAGACGTGGTAAACTTTTACGAAACTGTCGTTAAGGTGTTTCAATTATATCCAACGTACAATATGCTCGCAGCGTACGGTGCTCGTCTTGTAAGCGCGAAATGATTCCATTCCATTTGACTTCGCAGAGCTGGTATCGTCCCCTCGAATGGGACGACTTATACGCTGGCGCAAATCACGAATGCCTATTCGCAAACAGGGGCCATCCCCTATTTGGGATGCAGTGGAAATGGCGTCGTTCTTGATGAGGTGTGGTACTTCCACCATGTCCTTGGCACCGTGCGTACACGTACACCTACCCAACTTGATAGCGTGCACGGTCTACAGAAGACGATGACAGGAGCAGTACGGTCACTTCAAGACCATCAATTCCACCACGCCGTCAAGCTGCGCAGCGGAGGGATTGTGGTACTATGGGCGTACACCCACTTCTGAGCGCGAAGTTACCTACTAGGGTCATGATGCATGATGTGTTGGTGCTCTGTAGTATTAGAATGGTGCGAAGTAGTCGTGCATATCTCACGTGATTGACGCGATGCGACACGGCGGACCAAATACACCAAAACAATTCTGTGGGTTGGCCCGTGGTGAGTGCACAACGAACGTCATGAAAATTCGGGAGGCTACTTTCAACCACATTCCTTGCCATATAACCACAGACTGTGTCGGACATGACAGTCACACTCAATCTCAACGCCCCTCTGGCGGAATCAAGCACTCGGAGAACCCTCGCGGACATCTCGCTGTCGGTCGCTAAATGCAAGAAAATCGTGATCGTCACTGGAGCCGGCATCTCCTGTTCGTGTGGCATACCCGTGGGTGGCTCCACACAGAAGTAGTCAAACACGGTCATTGACACTCCACACAGGATTTTCGTTCTTCAGATGGCTTGTATGCTCTAGTAAAGGAGCAGTTCCCCGACGTAGTTATGAAGGGAAGAGATCTCTTTGACGCGTCGCTGTTTCGCGACCAGACATCCACCTCCGTGTTTTACACGTTCATCTCGCAACTCAAGCGTTCCATCGATTCCGCCTCGCCTGCACCAACACATGAATTTATCAAACGCCTCGACAACAAGCACAAGCTACTGCGGTCATACACGCAGAATATTGACGGTCTCGAGGAGAAGGCTGGCCTTCTCTCCAGTTTGAGCCAAGAGGCCGGGTCAAATATGAAGGGGAAGTCAAAGCTAAAGGCAGACGAAGTGAGGAACATCCAACTTCATGGAGATATTCGCCGCGTTCGGTGTACTATCTGCTCTGTCGATCTCCTGTGCACTGAAGAATTTCTGTGCATGTTTGAAAAAGGTACAGCTCCCGATTGTCCGGAGTGTACTCTGCGTTGTGAGTTTCCCTTGTTCCTATGGCTGTGTCCTCGTGTAAACCAGCCCCTTCAGCGGAGGCGCGCATCGCCAGGTCCGCTCGTCCCTTGAAGATTGGGTCGCTTCGACCCGCTATTGTCTTGTACGATGAAGCACATCCTATGGGGGACGACATCGGGAAGATCCAGTCACAAGATATGGCTCGCAAGCCCGATATGCTCATCGTCATGGGCACGTCCCTCAAGGTCCATGGGCTGAAGAAGCTTGTAAAGGAGTTTGCGAAAGCTGTGCATACCTCTGCTTCTAGTACGACGGGTTCCCCAAGACGAGTGAAGAAGTGGCAGGGAAAAGTTGTCTTCGTCAACAAAACACCGCCTGGGACTGAGTGGTCGGATGTCATCGATTACCACATCATGGGTGACGTGGACAAGTGGGTCGAAAAGGTAACGGAGGACTGGAGGAGAATCCGACCATCAGACTGGGAGATACAACCGATGTTGGATGAACATGGGAACTTCAAATCAGCGAAAGACAAAGGCAGGACCTTAGGTGTTCGCTTGATCCGGCAGCTGATCCAAGCGTCCAACAGGCAAATCCAAGCAGAAGCTGGGAGTGGAGAATGCCTTGCCTGTTGACGGAATACCGTTCCCATCCATCATTACAAAGTCTGCCTCGAACACACCGTCATCGCCTTCAAAGCGGCGACAGTCCATTTCGCACTACTCCGACCTAGATTCCAGTCCAAGGAAGAGGCGAGATGTAGCGAAAGCTTATAACAAGGCAAACAAGTGCCTGCTATTTGTCGATGCAACGAACTCCATTCCCCAAACGGATGAGGGGCTGACCATGGATCCTTTTGGATCTCCCTTTAAGCATCCCGGGCGGCGGCCAAGGACACGAACCATCTCGGCGTCAACCGAGATAGATATAAAGAGACCTAGAACAAATAGCGGTACTTTGCGTAAAAAACCTTGGGTAGAGGCTGCAGCAAGGCCATAAATTTTATGCTACCATACTGTACACTACTAGTCGCTAAACATATTTATCGGTACATCCGAGCGGACGCTTTCTTCACAGGTTAAATTACGACAGCAGTTTTGTACGAACAGGTAAGCAGAATGAGGGTAACAGACACACCAATATGGGGAATCTGTGGGGAGAGCTCGATGTCTACTCGCTGATCAACTCGGAGACGCTCCAATCCTCGAACGAACCGTCCGGTAGATATCGACGGATGATAAGAGGGATTTTTCGTTGCGATAGCTCCTTTATGGCGATTTGGAGCGCATCCGTCTCCCCATCCAGGGGCACTAGTACTGGAGCATTCATACTTTCCGGGCATGTTTAATAGGCTAAAGAATGCACACGAATGATGATAATGTAGGCTCACCTGATCTGGAGGGCGCGTGTACCCAATATTCGTGCACGTTCGTATTTTGTGAGGTATGGCGTTGTGATACGGACTTTATTGGGTTGCCTCTCTCCATGTAGGCCAACGGCTGGGGAAGGCTGCTGATACTGAGACTGCTCCTCTCCAGTTACCATCTCTTGGTCGTGGTCTGTACCATTTATCCCATTTGGATGGGAGACCTCGCCAGTACCCTCCTCGCCCTGCTCCTCCTGGTGGTCTCCCTCGCGTAGCTCCCCTAAAAGGTCATAGTTGTCGTCCTATGGATATGATACATGAACACCAAAGGGAGCCCAGGCACGACAAGGACTAGACGCACAAATGTACCATCAACATAACTAGGTAAGACATGTGGGTGAGACTTTGGAGAGTTTTACACAGCAAGACGGACAGACCTCGGACCCCCGTAATCATAGTCATCCCCTCCGCCACCATCATACCCATCGTCGGACATGTTTGCTGGCCAGAGGAGAAAATCAAGCGACAGTCTGTCGCCGATCGCGGTGGCAGTGTATTCATTATGTAATGGGATGCGCGCTCTTGTAATTACATAGGTTCTTTGCGAGTGCGATCAGTCCATCTAGACCCAATTGGAAGCCAGTAGACATCACAGCTCCGTCTCGAGCAAGTCTCCGCCAGTACTTCTTCGTCAATAGTATGTATGTGTATGACTTCGCGTTGTCGTGAAACTACATGACACTGACGCTGCCAGTGCACGTGAATCGATGCAGGTAAGACTACGTTGAAAGCCTGGGCCTGGCAATGTAGATTGTTCCCATTATGCCATAGTTACGCTTGATGGCTTGTATTTCTTAGTTGTTTGACTAGGATCCCCCCCTGGTGACCTTGAAGCGTCCTCGTCGACCTTATAGAGTAGTTTTTCGGGCTCGGGAAGAGTTTCCTGGCCCATTGATGATATGTACCGTGGAATGGCGAGGTAAACTGTGGTTCCTTTTATGCTTGGGAGGTCGCTCAACGATCTGATTTTCTCTCAGAGAATTTGATCGAAATGTATTTGTGTCTCGCAGGAAGGTTGATTGATAACCCCCCCCCTCTACGAATTATCCGCGGAATTGAATGTAAAAAGTCGAGCCAACTGTCCCCCCTGCGTCTTGTCGTCTTACCATGTCACGACGAGACAATCCTCGCTCGTGGAGCGGTCGCTTCGGCCCTCTCACTCCACCTACTGACTCGAGTACCCTTTCCTCCGAGTCACAGGCAGCTGGAAGCGTCGAGTCTAACTGTCCACCAGACAGAGTTGTTCACGACTCCAGCATTTTCGTTGGATGGTAAGAGAT